CGGTTCCAAGGTTCCTTGGTAATACCCCCGTCAAACCACAAGTTGTTCCTTGGCGACCGCCTGCGTTGCCTAATATAGTAGACTATAACAAATCGCCGAGAGGCTTAATAGATGTGACAGAGTTTAAAGTGTGCTTTAGCGAGTGCAGCATAAACGTGAAAGATCTCCCTGCCTCATCCAGTTGCACCGGCTACACTAGAACTGCAGTGTAGTACACATCTCGACAACCGAACAACTGCCTTACTTATAGCCTTCTTTTGCTTCGTCGTCTCATACTGAAGGCGTCTGACTGAAGAAAGTTACCGAAGAGGATGCTCAGGTATTGAGCGAAGTAGACTGCTACCTCATCGTCGTGTGCGAGGCTACGTGAACGTTGTTGTCCTCCTCGTACTCCAGATTACCGTATCTAGTACGATGCGCAACAGTGACAGTTCATAGCGTACAGAAGCAGACTGCCGTGCGAAGAGTGGAATCCGGTTGCCGCAAAGGACGTGTCATGGCAGCGCCCGGCGAAAGAGTTGATGAGAGGCGATAAAATCGTGGTGGTCTACCTGATCCTCTGCATCTCAAGGTCTAACAACAACTCCGAGATTCCAGCCGAGCAAAAGCGCACTCATAACCCAGCAAAGTATCGTGGAAGGAAGTCACAAAAGAACAACGCAGTCGGTAGAAGACACGGTACGAGCCGCGCGCTCAGAAGGAAGGTAAGCCGAGCGCAACGGGCACCATCCCAATTCAGAAACCATCCCGCCCCATCCGGACGACAGTCCTCCAGATTTGCCCCGCAACACCACCCCGTGACGCAATGCCATCCCATGTTTTGCTCGGCGGGGTAAAAGCTGCACCGTCAGAGTCGCGGCCTTTGAGCCTCACTCGGCAGACCTTCCTCGGCCTAATCTCACGCGTCTAGATACATAAGTGTCGACCTCCGACTCCGACTTCTTACTATACAGACTACAAGTTACTTACCTTCTTCTTTTACCTTGTATATACTCTACGAGCTTCCACAGCAGACAGCCTCTTCATAAACCGCCAAAATGTCCATGTCCGTCGAAGAATGCCAGGCGCCGCGCGCCGGCTTCCCCAAACCCGTGCCAGACACACCCACAAACGTCATGCAACAATTCAGCATGAAAGGCAAAGTCATCGTCGTCAACGGCGCAGCCGAAGGAATCGGTGGAGCCGTAGCCGACGCCATGGCCGAAGCAGGCGGCAACGTAGCTCTGTGGTACAACTCCAACAGCGCCGCCATAACCCGCGCGGAGAACCTCGCAAAGACGCACAACGTAAAGACAAAAGCCTACAGCGTGAACCAGATCAACGCCGAGGCAGTCCAAAAAGCCGTGCAACAAGTGGTTGAGGATTTCGGCCGCATCGACGTCTTCGTCGCCAACGCCGGCACAGGAGATAGCAAGCCGCTCCTCGACCAAACCCTCGATAGCTACCACAACCTCATGAAAGTCAACGTTGACGGCCCCGTTTTCTGCGCCAAGTACGCCGGCGAGGTATTCAAAAAGCAAGGGTTCGGCAACTTGATCCTCACCAGCTCCATCTCTGCGCATATTGTCAATGTACCCATCGACCAACCCATCTACAACGGTACAAAAGCGTTCATCTCGCATTTGGGCAAGTCACTGGCGAGGGAGTGGAGGGAGTTTGCGAGGGTCAATATTGTGAGCCCGGGGTTCTTTGATACCAAGATGGGGGCTGGGCCGCAGGTCATTAATGAGGGGTTGAGGATGATTCCGCTGGGGAGACAGGGTAATGTCAAGGAGATTAAGGGGCTTTTCTTGTACTTGGGTAGTGATGCGTCGAGCTATATGACGGGGAGTGATTGTATTATTGATGGTGGGTATGTACTACCGTAGGTGTGGAGTAGATATAAGGAAGGAATTGATACCATGTCTGCTGTTCATTGAATTCAGGAAAGCTATCCCTGTTGCCTTCGTCATTGCATCTGTGGTCGTACACATTCCTTCAGCTCTTGAAACATCTGATTGGGGTGAAAAGTTGAAATTAAAAGGTATATGCGGTCGCTAAGCCCAGATGAAAAGAAATTGGAAACATGATGAAGATTCTACTCGTCTTTACTCCTCGCCCTATCCAGGCTCTCCCGCTCGGTCGTCTCACCACTTCCCGCTTCAACACCTTCGCTTCCCTTGCTCTCTTCATCTCTCCTCTTGTCTTGAGCAATATCCGGCGCAGGTGCAAAGTTACTCTTGCCTCGGATTCTCTTACCGAATACATAGAAGACCACTGGCATCGGTACAAGTACGAGCGCCACGCAGCCAAGCAGTGTACTGGCCCATTGGATTCCCATACCGTTGAACATGAAAGTTGCGAATAGTGGGAAGACTCCACCAAACATGGACCGCATGAAGGTGTTTGCTGCAATAGCGGAAGCAGCAAACATGAGGTACGCGTCAACGATGTAGTTGAGGAGGGAGAGGAAGATGGAGAAGATGCCGAATCCGGTAAAGAGACCGCTCAAAACAGGGACGATCCAGTGAACGTTGCCGGTGTAGCCTGTCCATCCGAACCAGAAGAGACCGGCTGCGAAGAGCACACCACCGACCATGCTGATGGGTAGCCGCCATTCTGGAACGGGGATGTTGTTGTTGGCTTCGAGCTTTTTGATGTATCGTGGGTTGTCAACGACAATGATGATGAAAGCGATGACTTCACCAGCGACCATGCCGAAGTAGGCAAGTCCGCCAATACCCGGGCTCCAGCCGTAGACTCCTTGGAAGACGAGAGCGTATGCGGTGAGAAAGAGGTAGAGTAGACCATCTAGGTTTGTCAGCACAGTTCTTGTAACGAGATGGGGTGATCCAACTTACAGATAAAGCTCATGTAGATAGTGATGAGCAGTACAATAGGCTCAGTGAAAAGAATGCGCATCGGTCGGCTGACGTTCTTAACGATCAGCTCCTTGAAGTCGACTTCGATTTCCTCCTGCTTCGCGTGAATACCCCAATTCTTGGTTCGTCTCCTGAGCTCGCTCGCCTTGTTGATCAGCACAACGGGAGGGTATGTTTCCTCCATGAAGAAGAAGAGCAGAGCAAATGACAAAAAGCCCATGAAACTGCTGATGTATTCGGTCCACCGCCATCCCAGGTCGCTCTGTGTGATGAAACCTCCGATGAATGGTGCAAGTAGAGGACCCATGAAGACGGTTGCAGAGAAGACTGCGACGGCGAGACCGCGGAGTTTGTTGTCGAACATATCTGCAAAGACGGCGGCGACGATAGCGAGCGGAGAGGAGCCGAAGAGACCGGCGAAGAATCGACATATCATGATGGTCTGGATATCTTTGGCTGCGGCGACCGCAATGCTGAAGATAGCGAAACCAAAGGCGGCGATGATGAGGGGAGGTTTTCGGCCGTACAACTCGGAGAAGGGCGCCCACATCTAGAAGTTGTTAGAATATCTGACCGCATGTCTATGGTCAGCGTTCACTTACCAAAGGCCCAAAAGCATATCCAAAAACGAACAAACTCGTTCCTAGAGTACCCACAACATTGGCAACACCGTATTGTTGCGATACTGCTCCTGTAGCGGCCGAGAAGATACTGCTGCCCATGGTGGCTGTGAGGGCGTCGAATGCTAAGATAGCACCAATGCCAATCTTCTTCTTCATCGGCCAGTTCTGCGCATGCAACGGGTCGTCGACGCCGTCGAACTCGACTACATATTCTTCCCTGTCCGGTAGCAGCGGGGGGAAAGGCTTGCCAGCTCCTAGGTTCGGCAATGGCTTCTCTGTACGACGGCGTGTGAGGGTCCTCGATAACCGCGAATCGACGCGCGATGCACCGACTGTGCCTGCATGCTGACTTCTGTGTGTCTCGATTCGGCGGATAGCTTCGGGGTTGCGTTCAGTGGGATGTAGTGTCAGGTAGTTGCCGCTCGAGGCCTGCGAATTGACGGTCGGTCGGCGGTCGCGTGCGGGGGTTGAGCGGGCGGTGCGTATTTCTTCGAGACGTGCGCTATGTGTGGATGCAGAGCTTGCAGAGCTAACAGTCGAAGCCGAAGATGTGCTGTGCCGTGAGAGAGGCGAGGCAACCTCCTCTTCCTTTTCTCTGATGGGTGATGCTACTGCTTCTGTTGGGAAGGATATCTCGCTCTGGGTGCGCTCTCCTCGTTCGTGTGCTTCGATGTTGCGCAGGCGCTCATCAGGTGTCTGGTCATGCAAGTGCCGTCTGTGGTACTCTTCGCGAAACTGGCGGTGCGGGTCCCAATTTGCGAAGCGCTCAGGGCTTGCGTTCGCCTCATTGCGCAGGATATCCAGGTCTTCGTTCTGCATCTTGATCGCAATCTCCTCTTTCCTCGACCAAGGTTGTGAGAGTGGCTGTCGCGCTGGAAAGCGATAGAAATTGCCAGCGCTCGGCTGTCGGAACAATAATAGTAAATGTTCAGCCCGACGACGAGGCCGTTGTGGATCGTGTGGATCTAACGCGCGACGGTACGACTAGTCGTGACCGTGTTTTCGGGAGATGGACGCGGGTGCTGTCAATGGCGATGAACAAGCTTCAATCGTTCAATCGCTTGACAGCAGCCCGTCGCCCTAAGTATCTGGCGCGCGTGGCCGTCATGAGCGAAAGATTTGCTCACCTGCACATCTCCCGCATCTGTTCCATGCGACATGGCGAGAATATTGCCGACACCAGCGTCCGTATCCGGCGGACAGAAGGTGAGTAAGCCACCGCTAGCCGATTGTGCGAAGGCGGTCAGAGCTGTCCTTCATCGTGATTGGGCAGGTCAGTTGAGCGCAGAGAAGAGGTTTGCCGGCGGAAATAGAAGTTCGCCTACGTCATGGGCAGAATCTGCTGGGTAATCAGCGGCGCAGGCCATTGTCATCACCGTGCATACGTAGCGCCTCATGCAAGTGGGGCACCTCGTGGTCCTCAATAGAGAAATCGTCGCAATAGGGGAAGATGCCATTGCCATTGATGCCCATTCATATGCCTGACCCGTAGTAGCACTCATAGCAAATCTGCCATCTACATCGCAGCTACCGCTCTCTCAAACATCTTGCCCAGGTACGCGTGTCGGGTTTCGCCAGCGGGCAAAAGCTGCGTTGCGAAGATGCCGCAAGTACCGCCCTTGCGATCGATCCACCACTTCAGATTCGGTGCACCTCCCCATCGCAAGGTGCCAGCCTTCAAGCCTCCTTCGGCATCATCTTCGAGTGCTACTAGACCGCCCAAAGCATGAGACCATTTCCGCGCACCAGGAGTGCCAAACGGAGCATCGCCTGGAATCATGATGGCAGCGTAGGCTGGGACGGACAGCGTCTGATCGAGCGACTCCTGCGCCGCGGGTGGTATACATGGAGCAAACAAGAGCTCGATACTTTCCGACTTGAGAAGCTTGCCATCGTTCCGGAGAAGCGACTTTAGAAGTGCGAGGTAGTCTTCGGTATTGCCGAACAAACCTCCGCCACCGAACTCATCTTGAGGATCCAGCGGCTGTGCCAGTGGCATATCTGGTGGGTTGCCAGGTATGAGAGCTGCATCAGGTGCAAGACGGGTGGTCATCGGCATCAACTCCTGCTCGATATTGTTGTGCTTGACGTAGAAGGAAGTCTTATCCATCCCCAACACATCAAAGATGTATTGGCGCATGTATGCTTCCAGCGTGCAGTTGTTGGCCCTCGCGATCATCAAGCCCACAAGCTCCAGCCCGCCACCATATGCGAAGCCGGAGCCGGGCTCAAAGATGAGAGGTGTCGCAAAGCACTGCGTGATAGGCGTGCGCATGAAGAGACTTTCTTCGCTGCGATGCTGCCTCCACTTCACGAGGTCAGCCGCGAGAAAGTCGTAGCCGACTCCGCTCGTATGCGTCAGCAATCTTCGCAATGTCAACCTTTCTTTTGCAGGTTGTAAGATAGGTTCATCAGCGTTCCAGCCAGTCAGGACAACAGAATTCTTCCATTCAGGCAGTAAACGATCGGTGTCAGTGGGTTCGTCGAGCGAAAACAGCCCACGCTCGACGCACTGCAAGGCTGCGATAGCCGTCGCTAGCTTCGTGCAAGATGCCAGCCATACAGTCGTCTTCGTCGATACTGGTGGCGACGTGGAGTCGAGCTGCAGTGTACCAAATGCAGCAAGAAAGTCATCTGGTTCCGAAGCATCAGCTGTGAATCAAGTTAGCCGCGAACTGTAGGCCATGTAACAGAAACACAAATGACAAGCGAGGTCGCCGACCGTGCGAACGGCTGCGAGCATCCGACGGCTCCGTCGCATATTCCGAGTCCATCTCAACGTGCCGCTCTCAAACGCACGCTAAACTCAACGGCCCTGGCAAGTGTTTTGGCAAAAGAAAACATGCAAAACCAGACCATACCCTTTCGAAGTGCTCTTGCAGCACCGAGAGCCACACCGGGCAGCAGGCGCTCAGGGCCGGATGCAACTGCCGACTGAAAAGCGTCATTGAACGAGGCAGAGGTTGTCATCTTGTAAACTTGGAAGGTACGCAGTGCTTTGGGTGTTTACCTACATCATCCTCGATACCAGACCTTTATATCTTGATGAAGCCAAACTATGCTTATCATGCATCCTTCTGGGTGACTCACAATTGCATCGCAAGTGCCCGCGGAGACAACAAAAGGGCGCTGTAGGATTTAGGACGATGCAACAACTATCGTGAAGCTTCAGTCGCTTAGATGCTCACAGAGCGCGTTGCTGTTTGGGTACTAGGGCGAGGCTGCCATCCTGATTCCGCGACTATTTTTGCGTCCTACGGGCGTAACCCCTCTCTTCAACGCCCTTCGGGCTGAACGCCTACGCTGTAGCCGCGGAAACAGGTATCTCTCGACTATCACTGCGACTTCATCGCAGCGCTCTATCCTACATAGGTAGGCATGCCGCTGTTGCGTTTCTCGCGTCCGCTTTCGCTCCAGAATCCACCCGCCCCCACCTTCCGGTCCCGCACCCCACCACACCACGCCAAGGTTTGATGCACACAAGCCGGGGGTACGAACGCACACTCTGACCGGTACCTGACAGCTCCAGACCTATGCGTCTTTACTTTTTTGCTTCAAATTCTCTTACCTTACCTTCAATCTTAGAACACACCATGCATGCATTGTGGACGTGGGCGAATCATCGCGCATGGGGGATGACGGCATACTGCGTCTCCTGTCATCTCCGCGACTAATTCTCGGACCTTTCCATTTCACATCGTTACAGATGCTGCGAAGCCGCTGATCCTTCTAGTGTTCCCAATTCGGAGGTGACTGCATACACTTGCCACCGTATGCAAACTTGTCACAAACGGGTCCTCGACACCACTTCATCGTACACCGGTCACGGCTGCGGGAGAATTGAGCTCGATAGCCGACACGATCACGTACGATGCAGATGGTATCGATCGAAAAGGCGCCACTCCGGACAGATTCTTGACAGGGACCACCGTGGCGGGAGCGCCCGACCGCTGCAGATTGGCTCGAGCCCTGTCGGTTACGCATGTTTGACAACCCGTACGCGAGGAAACTCAAGGTCGGACTCGCGTTTCGTCAAACTCCAATACGTTGTCGTGGTCAAGCAGGGTAGAATTCTCGGGTCCACTACCGGCCACTAGAATTCTGTCAACGTCCCTTGATCATTCCAGGATCATGAGTATACGCGCATGCAACGTAATTCGACGTAAAAGGCCATTCCAGGTTTCAAAACAGGAGTGTGGCAAAGCGTGAACAGCAACTGCTACTCACTGCAGCAAGTCCGCTCTATACTCCCAATTGAGATCACTGACGCATAATGGGCACATTAATGCCGGGACTCGAAGTCGTGTTGAACAGTACCACAAGAGGTATCATTATTTCTCACCGATCAGTATCCTAGACTAACAACGACCACGCGGTTCATCGTCTACGGAGTATATCCCATCTCCGCGTCGATGCTCGTATATGCGGGTGGGTACATAGCCGGGCAAGCTCTCGACTGCCGTTATGCGCACCTTAACGGTCATCGTTCCCAAACGCTGTATTGGTCGACCATTGGAATTGTTTTTTGTGGTCGGCCCACTTTTGTCAAGCCCTGGCGGATGTCTTACGCCCCCATGCTCCTCTCCCATTTAACAGGTTTGGTACTTCAAAAGCCACCATGCACAAATGGTAGGCATCCCTTCACTCGAAAAGCCGTTGTTCAACTGTCTCGAACTTTGACAACGTTCCACGCACCACACAACCTAACGAATCATCTTCATCATGCCTGGTGGCATAAACCCCCCCATCGAGGTCAAACTGAGTTGGCCAACACCAAACTATGTCAACCCTACACTTCGACCAAACGCCGTCCTGTGGATTGCGTGTGTACTTGGACCTATTACCGTCGTTATGACTCTTGTACGGTTATGGGTCAGAATCTTTCATCAACGATGTCCCGGCTGGGACGACTGGTTGATGTTAGCTGCCCTTGTGAGTTATCAGTGATCACTCATTATGGCTACGCTAACAATCCTAGCCTCCAGTTATCGCCTTGACAGTCATATATCCCCTAGGTAGGATCTCAAACCGGTCCATTGCTATCTAGCTAATGCTTCTCAGCAACCAACCAAGCATTCGACCGACATATTTGGGACCTAAACTACCTCTTCGAACCGGAAATCATCGTTAACGCACGGAAATACGTACTCGCAACCGAATGTGTCTTCTGTGTTGCAACTGGCCTCGTCAAAGTTTCCATTCTTCTCTTCTACCGACGCCTCTCGGCCCGCGCCGTGTCGAATACATTCGTATGGGTGACTTGGGCCACTATCGGCTTCATCATCGCCTACACCATTGCCTTGACCTTGGCACCTATCTTGGGCTGCCAACCCATCTCAGCATTCTGGGATCAAGTAAACATCATCAAAAAGTTACAAGGTTACGAGTTCCACTGCTTCGACGAAGGTGCCGACGTCTTCGCTGCCAGCATCATATCCTGCGCCCAAGACGCCCTGACTGCCGTTCTTCCTACGTTCCTTTACTGGAATCTTCAGATACCGATCCGACAAAAGCTGGCGTTGTTCGGTATCTTTGCCATGGGTTACGGTGTCGTCGCACTGGGAGCTGTGCGAGCCTACTACAGCTGGTACACCTTCTATGGCACTTACGACGTGACATGGCACACATGGAATCTGTTTCTTACTTGCATGCTCGAGCTGTACATCGGATGCTTATGCGCCAATGCGCCCGCCATGAAGGTCTTCTTCAAACATTTCTTCCAGGAAAAGCTCAGTCAGCGATCCAAGACAAGAACACCAGCTGGTACCGATGATCGCCAGGATAGTGCGCACACCAAGTCGAAGAACTCGTGGAGGAAGTTCGGTGCGAGCATTACAGGCGGAAGCTGGGCCAACAGCACCAAGGGATATTACGATTCTCACCTTGGTACCACTGTCGACCCGCATGGAGGTGTGCATGTGCACAAAGAGGTGCAAGTGACCATGTCGCCAACCAGCTCGGCGATGCCGACACCCACTGGCATTGACCGCCCTGTGTCAACTATGACAGCCGACATGATCTGCGACCGCGATTACGAGGACATCGAGCTTGGTCGTTACACCACAGGCCACAACTCGCGAGCATCCAGCATGCGATCGACTCATCTCTTCGAAGGGCACGACTTGGAGGCACTCCCTCCACTACCCATGTCACCTGCATCGCCAACGTCGCCAGCAAGCGTTGCTCCTCTGGCATCGCACCCTCTCTCGCCCACAGAAAAGAGGCTACCCATAACTCCCCTGCCCGGTACGGCGATAAGCCAAGAATCCAGGAGGGAAAGAAGTCCCACTCCCATGCCACCACCGCCAACCGCGCGGGAGTCGCCATACCCCCCACGCGGTTCAAGTCAGAAAAAGCCAAGTTGGCAGTCGTGGTCTTGAAGCGTGCCGCGCATGCTAATGCTCAGACCGTTATGTCGACCTATACCCACGCACGATATGAAGCATCGCGTAGATCGCGCAAAAATTTCCTCGTCTTTCCTTGTACTTGCAGCGTCGCTGTAATGTCGCTTTATGATACCATTTCCGCCCTCTGGCGCTACTATAGAAGCATTTTTCAAATGCATCAATATATTCATATCTTAAAAAAGCTTCGTGTACACTCCTGTCATCATTCTCGACTAACAATTAAGGTGTTGTGACGCTCGCTTCTACCCATGTTGGTGACCTTGCGGATGCGGCTTCGATGATGACGACTTACAGCAGCGTGCTGCAACCTCGGCATGCGGCCGAACCATGTCATTCACATCAAATTTCATCGTACGTCAGAAAAACGAAGACGTCAAATGATGTACACCTCGAAACGAAATTGTCAAGTAGGTTCTAGACCCATCATATATTAGCCGAAAGAAGAAGGTGCATCCTCGCTACTTTTTGTTCGGAATTAATGCCCCAACCATTCCGATTCCGATGAGGCGGCCACCTTGAATCTCCACGCGGGACACTTTCAACATCCACGCCCTATCGCACGTAATGACTCAATGGCGTTCTCCAAAATGAAAAAGCTTTCTGAGCCAAAGCTTGAATCTCTAAACCGGTCAAAAGTGACCAAATGGTTCATTTCACCCGCATGATGGCAACGAACCTTTCCCCACCAACGCTTTTCACACCCTCGGAACTCAAATCGAATCCAAGCTTATCGAAATCCATCACGCAACTGGTCAACGACGCGTTCTATCGTTCGTATGAACGAGATACGGTGAAATGGGATAATTCGGAATCGCGCTTCAGCGATGAAGAGGGGCTTCATATGCTGCTGAGTGGGGAGGGCAGCGTTATCGCGTTGATCTTTGACGATGCGGCGAGCGCGAACGGGAACGACAATGGGGGCATCAATGGCGAAAGCGGTAGCGTCAGCGGCGAAGACGGCAGCATCAATGGCGAACAGAGCAGAAAGGTCGTCGCATGCGCCTCTCTCGTACCCTGGAAAGGCGGCTGGGAAAAAGAATGCGCCTCCACAGAAACAGGCTGGGAGATCAAAATCGTGTGTGTAGACGGAGATCCACAGTACCACCACCGCGGCCTTGCTATACAACTCCTCAACTTCCTAGAGCAATATCTCATCGTGAGAGAGACCATTCAGCTCGAACAAAAGGGACTACATAGTCAACGCGTGTTGAGCCTTTGGATCCTGGCTGCGGAGTGTCTCAATGGCGCGTATTGGCGGAAGAGAGGGTATGAAGTGGTACGGAAGAAGACGTGGGGACCGGGGACTTGGAGCTGCAAGACGAGTTTTGAGATGGTGGTTTTGAGGCGGGATGTTACGTTTGCGTTTGGTGGTGGGTCGACGGTGGGAAGGTAGGGGAAGGGTGTATCGCCAAACGCGACAGAGAGCCTTCTTCCCAATCGGGCTTTGGGGAGGAAGAAGCCATGCGCATGTTGAATGTTAGCCCTGTTGTCGCGTAGAAATCTCGCAAACCCGCCCTCCGCAGATCGGGCAGGTAGCATCGTCGTGTATTGCTGTCTAGAGTCATGAATTCGTTCGGTTGCTCCTTGAATACCAGCTCGATTTGGAGATCTGTCCAGTGTGCCCATGGGTGAAGCAAGACTTCATTCAGTTTCCTTTCTATACACTGCGTCCAAGGCTCGCTGTCGAAGACCATGAAATGCGCGAGGTCCTGGACGGTTGCAGCGACGCGCTCGTCAGTTAAGGTAGCCTCGCTGTTATGCTTCTCTTTCACAGCGTCCCAATCGACCCTCGGATCCAGTGTGAACAAGCAGATGAAATCGTTTCGCAGAAGGCGTAGTTCTAGTAGCGGAAGTAGGTTGAGCGACGAATGTGGCATTCGGGGCACCCGGGGCACGTGGATGATGCCTTGCAATACGCCCGCTCTGTAAGCAGCGATTTCAGAGTTGTTCCAGGGAGTATCCCTGGATCTTGCCTTCGACATGGAAGGCTCATTGCAGATGGTCTCGTCGATATACACGGTGATTGACCTCGGCGCGCGCATGGACAGAGACTCGCTGTCACTGAACGTCCAACACACCGTGTGGCAGAAGTGCTCGACGTCCAGCCAGTCTAGACCGAACTCGACCGTAGAAAACAGGTGCGAGAGAAATTCTTTGCGCAGCTTTTGACACACATGTGCGAGTGAGAAGATCGTAGCGGGAGGAGAGCCTGCGCCGAGGAAGAACGAGTTCGCAGTGAAGCGGCGGACGCGGCCCTCGTATTCGGCAGTCAAGAACCCATAGACTGAGTTGCGGAGTTCTGTTATGACGTCAGTGTTGATGCTACAGGCTTTGCGGTCTAGTGAACTCACCCGCAGGCAGTTCGAGAAAGCGGAAGGACTCGGGAAGTGAGCGTCGCGTTCTCATGTTGATTAGTGACAACGTTGTAAAGATTGATCCAATGTTCTTAGTAGGGTTCGTAGTTATCTAGCAGATGGGATTGTGGGGTTAGAGAGAAGGAGAGTCGGCAAGTTGGGGCCAATCATCAGCGTGGTGATCCGTGGTGAGAGCAAACGACATGCAGGCTGCGTTGCGCGTGCACCCGATCAGATGAAAGGTCTAAACACCTACCAAATAGAAAAGTGCTGGATAGACTAGATGGTTGAATTGCTATGGGATTATTTAAACTTTCAATGTTACACTGCCTAAGTAGCGGGTAATGCAGCGCAGCTGTCACCGTGATTGTTTCCTTCTTTGTCCGACGTGTAGGCGTAGTTAAACTAGACAAAGATTTTGGACAAACCAATGCTAGTACACCTTGAGATATCTTGGAGCAGACGACCCTGACATCTTCATAGCAGCTACCATGATGGTGTGCATTCTTGCACTCCTCACTGATACCAAACCGACTCAGTGAACTCTCATGTCGAAGCCTCTGATCACTCAAACTTTAGTTCAGGAAACCTCTCAAATTCTCCCCAAAATGCATCGGCACCGATACTTTCGAAGTAGAGATTCTCGAACAGATTTTCTTCGTAGCTCTCATAATGCGTTTCGAAGTCGGACAACGATCGTTTCAGGTAGAACGTTGCCTGCGGCGGATCGCTAACGCCAATATTGAAAGCGACGAGCTTGGTAACAACACCAATTTCGATATCGGACAGCCACTTTGGGTTACGACTGCGCATAATCCCTTCTAGAGCCTCGGCGTCTTCATTGATGTAGCCTCTGAAGTTACGTCCATCACTATGTGGCTTTTTATCTGCCTCTTTCTCGGCACGTTCCAAGATTTTCGTGTCGTGGATGAAGTGACAGGCGAAGTTTGGTCTACAGAGGCCAAATTTGACCAACGGTAGTAAGTCAAGCCCATCACCCGTATCCTCCGGCTTGCCGCGCCATGGAGTGACTATGGTCATGTTCGCCGGTGCAAGCTCAACATGCTCGATCTTGCCGTTGACGGTGGGGAAGAAGGTGCGCATGTAACCGGTAACCGCCTTCCAATCGATGACGATGTCTCGCTTCAGGCATATAGATCGATACTCAGTACGCAGCTGTTGACATGTCTGCGCAAGCGCAAGACACGGCAATACGCAGCGAGGTTGGTCGGCTTCGGTCTCAGCAGCGAAGTCATAGATAAGATTGCGCAACTCTATTACACACATGTCAGCCCTAAAAACTTGCCTGAAGAGGGTCGCGCCCACCTGCTGGTAGATCCAGGAAACGAAAGTGGTCTTCGCGGTCGCGCCTGCTGACAGTGTCCTGGGCCATTTTGGGAGTGGACTGAAGCAGTGCCGGGGGTGTATGGCGGGGAGCGTGGTAGAGGAATGATGCAGTGGATTGGATGCGAAGGTACAACGGTAAAGTGGCCCTCGTTAGCGTTTCGCTACCTAGGTAGTCGCCTAATGCGATCCACATTCACGTGGAGACACGTGATCAAGAGTGAAATCCGCCCAAATACATGATCCGTGAAGCAAGCTGCAAGCTGCGCGATCTGTATGCTTGAGGTATTATCTATACAAGTACCCAAAGTCTGTAAAGGTCTTTGACCATGATGCTACAATGCAAGACCGCAAGCTAGCGCGGGATATCAACGCCCAATCTGATCACCCTCTGACTCTAATCTTTCTCTACATCTTCCGCCCGGCTCGAATTGTTGAAGTTACGCACATCAATACCTTCAAATGCAACGTCACGATAAACCCCAGGCCAATCTTCAGAACTTGGCATGTTGTAGAGCCGTCTTATCTGATCCGTGAAAGCTTGCCCTTCTCGGTCCAAGGTCATATCGACACCGTGGGGTGTATGCCCCCGCTTGTACCACAAATAGAACCTGCCATCGTGATGACAGCAGAATTCAGAGATTTTGGATGCTTGGATATCGTGTCTCAATGCAGGCGACGTATTTTCCACGATGTCCGTTATGAGCTCACAGTTATACTGGGAATAGAATTGCTCTTCGGTATCTGCAGGACCGGGGATGACGCTGACCTCGGTTTCCGGGGACGCTATCTTAACTTCCAGGAGAGGCAGTATGTCCACATTCGTGGATGGCGGATAGCGGTAAATGACGCGCGAGGGGTGTTGCCCATCGAGTACCCGCTGGTTCGTATGGCCCGACGCAAAGAACGCGTTCGTGAACCTCTTGATGTCTTTGTCTCTGACTGTGAAGGAGGCGTTTTGCATGTAGATCTTTCTGAACTCATCTCGAATTTGTCGGCAGACTTGTGTGAGACTGATTGTGGGCGGGTTGCCAGGCTTGAGCATGATGATGCGCGGCGGTGCCTCGGCAGCGTATTCATAGATACGGTTCCGAAGTTCTGAGGTCTGACATTAGTGAACCAAGTTCATCATATGATCAGGTGCTCAGAATATACCTGCAGCGAGGTCTAAGAAGCGGAAGTGGTGTCCATTGGTCGACCCGGAGGTGATGGAAGCATCGTGGAATTGCATGGCTGCAAGCGCGTCGTCAACAGCGCTGGTATAGGACACGACAACCTGATCTATGAACTGGCGGAGGTGTTGCTATCATGTATTCGAGACCCTCGTCGACGTGGAGCGTGTAGGAGTCGGCGAGCGTACTGGCGTGCCCAAAGCTTTCATGTTCGATCAGGCAACGAATCTCGCGCTAACCCAAAATGTCCATTGCCCGCGGCCCCACCTGCCACGCGTGCACCTCAGACGAAACCTTGGAAAGTAGAATTGAATGTGTGCACCGTAGGCTACATCGATCTACAGATCAGAGTCAACAAGATTGAAAGGCAATGTCGACTTCCTGGCTAAGTTGTACTTCTTTCTTCCCGTGCAGAGGGGCCCTATTTCTCACCTCCACGTCAACCTAGGAAAAACCTGAACAGGTCTGCAGACTACATCAAACCAAAACCCTGCAAACTGGGTGATCCAAAGTCGATGTAGACTCCAGGGTGTTCAATTTCTTCCTAGATTGGCGTGCCTCCATCAAATTGGTGGAGGGCCTAATCATACCATTATCTCGTCCCACAGGCCGTCAAGGCCGGTAGTACCCGTAGTTGAGGCGAGCTGCTCGCTGAACTTAACTTGAACATCCACGGCTTCCCTCGGATATCGCATAGTGATGGCAACACTCTTCACCTCGTGCTCCTGTACAGCAACGCGCCACTTCCGCTTCGCTTCCTTCACTAGCGCAGTGTCTTGTTGAACTGTTTCGAGACGTGTGAGACCACCATACTGTACCAGCCTGGTGACGGAGACTCCGGCGAAAGCACAATTCTCGAAATGGATAATGCGTACTTCCAGTCCCTTGAAAGCCAAGCCCAATCGCACTAGATGGATGATCTCCGTTGGTCGATCCAGCGTACAGTCGAAAGCCGTCTCGTACTGAATGATGAGCGCTTTGGGACCAGAGCCGTAATCATCTTCGTTTGGATAGAAGCTCTCGAGGAACGCGTGGACAGAGTGCCAATCGATGACGAACTTGGCGCGTGCAAGCCACATTGGTCGGTACTCGGAACGTACCTAACACGTGGACATGCTAGATCAGTACATGTCTCGTATCCATCTCACATGATAAGTTACTTGGCGGGAGACTTGTGTCAGCGCGATGCCTGCGGCGCCGTGATCACGAGGTCCATGGACTGGTGTGAGTAGCTGAGAGGGTACCTCTGCGACAGCGTACTCGTAGATTTGATTGCGGAGCTCTGGATGGATGTCAGTCTTCCGCTTTGCGACATTTCGATATATATATACTGACCTGCTGAGAGACGCATAAAGTCGAAAATACCTGTTGGAGTATACGCGACCTTCTTCGCTCGCGGAAGGCGACTGCTGGACAGGACGTCGTCGTCTCGGCGTCGCTTCAGGCGAAGCATCGAGAGCTCGGGCGTGTAGCGGTCCATAGTGACGTTGTGGACGCCGCACGGGTGGTGTTGTTGTTGTTGTTGTTGTTGTACGGATGCGAAATACGTGCCGTAAACATGCCTAGGGTCTCGCGTTTGCGGTGACGTCATCCACCTTGGTAGCCTACAAACGCGTTTGCATTCACCGTTCGCATTCACTTGAGATGGAAATAACTAAATGAACTCAGAGTCGTGTATGAGAGACCGGATCTTCGCTTAACCATGCACCTGCATCTTCGCTCGATTGGGGCCAGCGCTTACTTTGGCCCCACAACTGCCCAGGTGCGCCTCGTGCCGGTGTGACACCCATCATGGATACGAACTACGAAGAGTCACAGTCCTGCCTCAGCGCGCTGTGTAGAATTTGGTGTCTAACCTGATGAAATATGACTTCAAAAGATAACTCCACGAATCTCTCGATGCCAGATACCGTCGACTCTCATCATCCGTCGCCAAGAAGTGCTCACGATCAACTATTACACATGTTCAGGAATATGAAGAAGCGCCGCAACGTACCCAGGACCTCCTCGGCAGCAGACGACCCAGAGCCGATCATCTCACCACTTCTACTATTACCAGCTGGTATGTCCCCCCAACAGCACATACATCCCCCACCTAACCCCACCCCAGAACTCCGCAACCAAATCTACAAATACGTGCTACTATCCCAACACCGCCCCATCGAGCTCTTCAAATCACCTGTCCTCTACAGCTCATGGAGCCACAGCACCTCCGTCTGGTTCCGCATGATAAAACCCAGCCAAGTATGCCGGCAAATGCGCAGAGAATACCGACCCTTGGCCCTCCGCCAACAAGAGCTCACCATCAGCATCAAGCCCTGGCTCCGCTACGTCGACTTTGTTTACGGGCCTTCCCGCCCCATAGAGCACGTGCCCAGACGCATCGACTTGGTTATCGAGGATCCGTTGGTAGAGCGATTGAGACTGGATGTACTACCTTTGCTGCGGATTCGGCATTGTATTTACCCCGCTGGAAAAGCGTCGATATCGTTTAGGCCGTGTCACAGCTATCTGAAGCAGCCGACGACGATGAAAGTGCAACTGGATTCTATATTGGGCTTTGACGACGCACGTTGGGTGACTTGTATTGTAAGCGGCGATGTCGCGGAAGTTGTGATTCATGCTGGAAGAGGGAGTCTTGACTACGGCGTTGCTATTGTGAGGGTTGTTGTTGTGTTTAAGAGTGGAAAGGCACCTGGGAGGCTTACGAGCGAGGTTATTGTTCCCGAGGTGATGGTTCGCGATCAGGGGTTTGTGGACAAGTTTGCGGAGAGTGTGGGTTGGACGAAGAGAAAGGGACTGGATGTTCATGCTTCGATAGAGGGGCATTGTAAGAATGTTTGGCCACTTCGGCCGACGAAGTATTTGTCGAGATGGACATGAGATCGGGAGTGTAGAGGTATATTGTAAAGTGCAATCTATCTCGAGTGCGTGTACTTCCATCTTGACGCACCCGACCTGATGACCATCCAGGACGATGTGAAATAGCCGCTTTCATGATGAAAGCTGAACTGCTGACTGATTATCCAGAGCACCTTGCCATACATTTCGAAGACGTCACCAGGTTGCCTGGGCGCATGTCTCAGCTATCAACCAAAGCTAGCATGTGAGTATCATCCATCCCCTTCCCCCTCTGCATACTACTCACGAATGCCAAATATAACTTTTGGTCTTATCGTCATCGTCGCTGAACCAAAACTTGTGCCGATACCCATATGAACGCTCCTGCGGGTTCGGGTCAGGCCATGAGAGCCTCAATTCACGTATGCCACGCGTGGGCTGAGCTGCTTCGTTCCACATTTCATGAACTGCAGTCTTCCACTTCCTAGCCATGTCGTGCTTCATGGTGATTCGGAGTGCAGAGTCGGAAAATTGAACCCTCAGTCTCATCTCTTTGATCGACTTGCCCATGTCGCGCCACTTTGAGTTGGAAGAATCAGCGAATAACGAGAGCATACTGTTGACCTGTGCGATGCACTTTGCCGCCATGGAGTATCTCTTTAGATCCTTCTGAAGCTCAAAGGTGAAGCGAACCTTCGGTGAGCGCGCGACAAGCGAGACTACGCGCGCGATGTCGGCATCGTAGAACTCGTCCACACCCATGTCTTCATCGCGGCTATGCCCAACTACACTGATGATGTGTCCGCGGTAGCGCAGCATCGTGGTCTCGTCTGTAGGTGGATAGAAATCGCGGATGTATCGGGCGTAGTGGTAAGTGGATTCTAGGCGGAACGCAGTTTCAGTCATGTAGATAATGTGGAACTCTTTCCGGATTTGCCGACACGTCTGTGTAAAGCAGCGCCATCCTCCTACCGGTTTGATCGGGTCATCGTGACGAAGACGCAGTGGGACGGGGTCTGTATCGATGCAGAAGCTGTATATCTTATTGCGTAGTTCTGTAGGTACTGTATTAGCTAGGTTCTGGGTAGTTGGAAGGACGTACACACCACCTGGAAGGTTCAGAAAGCGACTGTTTGATGCGCTCATGGTAACACCCCGCATCTGCGCTTCTACGGAGGCCATGAGCGGATACTCCTCGTCGATTTCTGAGTTGCTGCTGTCAAAGTCAGTCCCGCATGGCTGATTGTGAGGGGCAACGTACAGGTGTAGGTGATCCATCTACCAGCTTGTGTTGTCTGTGAGAAGAGTCTGTGGTGAAGTGAGAATAGAGGGAAGCGCCTGACCAGGTGAACCATGGTACGGCTGCCAAGCAATGATGTAGCGCGTGTTATCGGGTACCTGCATGTACTGTGGGGTCCACGGGTGCGGGGCTTCACCTTCACGTGAGATACGTAATCAACGAGCAAACGCGCTTGGCTGTTTGAGAACTGGTACGTTCTTCTACGAAATTGGTTCCTTCGAAATTATGGAACCTCGCAGAAAACACGACCCAGCATATCAAACTATTGGCGACCCAAACATCGTTGAATGTCAACACGAAAGGGCTATTCGCAAGATAGGTTCTCACTCAAGCCCGCAGTTCTGAGCGCTCGTACAGCCTACCAGTACCATCCCTGAAAACGACAGCAAACGCGTCCATAGGCGGTGCACCCATCTCATTCAATGCCTGCCGCGGGTCACCAACATGTGCCATAAGATCATCTGCCACCGAGTATGGGAGAAAGAGGGTGATTTCAGGCTGAGTGCTGCACGTGATCGCAATCCTTTGGATACGCTTCATGTGCGGACGAAAAGCGCCGGACGAGATAGTAGCGAAGAAGTCGTTGACGAGGCAGCCGAGACGGAGGCACGCGCTGGCGTCTGTGAAGCTGATTTTGAAAGCGGGATTCTTTACGCAAAGATGTATGAGTGGTGTCGCGTCGTATTCGTGGCCGAAGTACGTGATGATTTGGATGTTGCCTTGTAGGCTAGAGACGCTAGTCGACGCATGATGCTTGTCAGTCTGGCAGCCTGACTGGAGTTGCTCGCTCGCAAGATCATTCTGTTGCCTCAATTCGGGATACAACGAGTAGAGAAATGTATTCGCAGTGACTTGATGGACAACATGGACGGTTTCGGCCATGTACATTGGCCCGAATTCTGCACGCGTTTGCTTGCACACGTTGCGAAGGCTGCCGTACAGTCCGTAGCGAGTATTTCTGTAATGCTTCCTTGGACGCTTAGGCATGCGAAGAAGTTGCCGAGGTTTTGGTTCGACGCAGTATTCGTAGATGCGGTTGCGAATCTCGCCAGGCAGAGATAGAAACGTTAACGTGGACATTGTGATGACGTTCAAATGAGCGAACAAATTTGGCCTCGACGGCAAAATCGAAAGACGATTACTGCGTTTAGTTCACAGTTTATCTGGGTAGGAGGTAAGGTTGCAGAGAGAGAAGGCAAACACAAATAGTCGACAAGAAGGAGCACAGAGACGCTAGTGTCCATTCGGCTAGCACGGATCTAGCGCTGGGTGCCTCCAGATGTCATCTGGGCGCTCCAGGATGCAGCCATGCATACCAATCCTCCGGCTTGCAGCAATTCGTCCGGACGTCTAGTATACGAACATCAGCCAAGCCAGCATTCTCGAGAAAATTCATCGCTTCGAGGCTCGCCGAGTGAATGATAGTGCTGCGCTTGGAACACCATGGAGGGTCTGCCGTAAGCCAGAGATCGAGAAATGGCGTTGAGACTACTGGATAAGGGCCCCCATTGAATCTGGGGTGTCGCACACCCAGATTTTTGAGATAAAGGATTGCGGCCTCCACATTATTGTTTTCGTGTTGGACCGTTGCTAATGTCTTTGGCGCACCGAGAATATTGTTCAGATCCTGTACAAGCAACTCACCGTATGCTTCCGATACAAGCTGGCTGCAGGGTTGACAAGGGTCGGTTGGAACGTGGGTGGTGTCAACCTCTGTGGAGAAGTCGAACTCGCATATGAAAGATGGTTCCATGGAGCGTATTAGCAGCAGCGGGAGGATATCCAAATAGCAATCGTTTCGATCATTGACCCCGGGGCCAAGATCGAGGATGATGTTGGCAAAGATCGGGCATACAACGGTCTTGAGGCCGCCCTCCCATCGTCTGTATGCCAGAATGACCATTGCGAGGTATTCGTAGATGTGTCGTGCGTCCACCCGGAGTTGCAGTTGTTCGCGGTACAAAGCCCCAAACTCGCTTCGAAGCGTCCTCGAGACCTGAGTGAGGCCTAAGAATTGATGGCGGGTGCGATCGATCCGTAGGCCAGTGTGGCTGTCTTGGGGACGTTTCATGTCCACGATGCCTTCGTTCTTGCAAAACAAGTAGACATTGTTCCGTAGCTCTGAAGCCAAATTAGCACTAACCGATAGAGCAATAAGGTGAATGTTGCTCACCGCCAGGGAGGTCCACAAAGCTGGTCCTTGGGCGAGAAGTAGTCAATGAAGCCACGTCATTGTTGGCCGTCATGCTTGCTGAACACTGTAGTGGAGTTGCTTCGTGTTATGGCTATCGAGTTGACAATAAGGTAGTGGCGCTACTGGTTAATGTGATGAACCCGGCCTGCAGTTATTCTCGTGGAAGGAGTAGCTGGCCATATGCAAAGGTCAGTGCTTCTGCAAATCGCCAGAGCGCTTCCTTCTCTCTCTAAAAACTAGTTAGATTCGACTAGGACTTCCCTCGACGACCTAATCCGTGATTCCGACTTGTGCACAGGCGGGCATTTTCGGGAAGGTGAAAGAACAGAAAGGTCACAGATAACGGAGTGATATTGGGGAGAGACCCAAAGGTGATATGCTAGGTAGCTGCTTCCAAGCCTTGCTACATGGCCTTGCCTTCAGGCGTGCTGTTCCACGCATGTTCAAATTGTTGCCATCCGCCATGGGGCTCCTCGCACATCTTGAGATCGCTAATGACGAAGTCGTAATACCCTTCAGCAGGCAGCTTTCCCTGGTTTACGGTCCCGCCCATGGCGATGTTGATGAGAATCCTGAAGTCTTCCATGCGGCGTGTGCCCTCTGGGATACAACCCTTCATGACTGGGTAGTTGTCGATGTACCAGATCATGCGCCCTCTCCATCCGGGTATGCCCTCTTCTTCGATCCAAGCGAAGCCGTAGGTGTGTGGTTGGCGTGCCAGGTCTGGAAGGGAGGTCTTAACGACGCGATGCTTCTGTGCATCCTCGCCGGTGTAGGAGCCCCAATGTAGGCACGAGTGGTTCTCCGTCTCGCCGTTCCAGCTCTCAGCAAGGTCGACCTCGCCGTCAGTCGGCCATTTGAACGGGTCTGCGGGCAGCATCCAGTATGCAGGCCATATGCCTGGTGCAGACGGAGGTAGACAGGTCGCTGTCAAGTAACCGCGCGGTCGCGACAGCGTCTGGTGTGAGGTCAAACGCGCAGAGGTGTAGCTGCCATTCTGTACGAGGGCGCGCACGATCAGGCGGTTGTCGTGATGGAACGAGTTCTCGGGTTTGTCCGTGTACATCTGCTTCTCGTTGTTGCCCCAGCCATGGTCGCCGATCTCGTGCCGGAAGTTCTGCGACACGGGAGTCTTGATGTCGAATGACGGCTTCCAGTACACGCTCTGGCCCTGTGGTGGAGGGAGGTTCTGGGGCGGCGGAGGCTGCGCAGAGTTCGGTCGGTTCTGAGGAATAGGCGGGGGGCCGCCAGGTGCGGGAGATTGGGGCTTGCTACCCTGGGGAACGGGCGGTGCGAGGGGCTGCTGTTGCGGAGGCGGCGGGCCCCATTGCTGCTGAGGGGGTGCGCCCCATTGGTTCTGCTGTGGATTCTGCTGCCCCCATTGCTGGTTTTGGGGAGGGAATTGCGGAGGATACTGGCTGCCCGAGTACTGCCCTGGATTTGGCGCGGGATAGCCTTGGGGTGGCTGCTGGTAGCCCTGAGGTGGCTGCTGATAGCCTGGAGCGGGTTGTTGGTAGCCCGGGGGAGGCTGCTGGCCCGGATAGCCCTGTTGGCCCGGATAGCCTTGGTTCGGGTGGCCTTGCTGGTGATGGCCCCCGGAAGGCTGCCCAGTGAACTCTGAGAGCTTCGCCTTGCCCTTTGCTAGGAGCTTGTCGAGTGTGCCTGACATTGTGTCGCGATGCCGTGATACGAAGGAAGTCACGGTGCGACGAAGGTTCCGCTTTGAGCCGAGCCGCCATGACGCAAGCAGGGCTGCACCTCCCCAAAAGCGCCGACGAACTCTCCAACAACAACACGGATATCAAATGTGAACAGCCTTGTTGCAACAACTTTCTTCTCTAAGACCACGTAGCCTTACCTCGAGAAATTAACAACGCACGTGTTCTAGACTATCGGAACTAGCCAAGGCATGGATGTTCCTCGCAACGTACCAACCTCTCCAGCCTTAATCGAGCCTCCATCATTTCTTCGACTCATTGTTTCCCTCGTTCCTCCAATCAGTATCGCTCCTTCTCTGTCATTTTTTGATTCGTCATGCTCCCCTGTCGTTACCTACAAACAGGCGTTCATCCACGTTACACCCGTGACGTCACATCTCACCACAACAACGGCTATTCACCCGAATAGCCAACCAGGCTGCCCATGGAAAGCGGGCAGGATGCAGGCCTACACATCCACGGCAGCAGCTATGTGAAACAGGAAGTGCTGCCTGAGTTAACGTAGGCCCCGCGTCATCCCTGTGTTTTGGCAGCAACCAAACTGTCTTAACGGAAGTCGCGCCTTGTCGCACTGTCGCACGAGACCAAACACTGCATATCTGGCCGATACAGCCTTCTCTCTTACACTCCACCACCCCACTATTCCCATCAACTACTCCACCTCAGACCTGCGATACCACTCGCCCACCATTACTCACAAGCCCAACCGAACCAACATGTCTTCCATCGTCAACGCCCTCAGCGATCTCGTCTCGTCCATGGTCGAGCTCGTCTGGTCCTTCATCACCACTGCCGGCGCGCTAGTCCAGAAGACGGTCCAGTTCGCTCTCAACTTCGTGTTGGAGATGATCGACCTCGTGGTTAACTTCTTCCGTGGTCTCGTGGACCTTGCTGGCGGTATCGTTAGCTTCGTACTCGGTAAGTTGGCTGTCGACATTTGACTCGCGCATTCGATCGATTTGGAAACTAACAACTCTATAGGCAACGTCCTTATGCTGGGCGTCGTCGCCGCCGCAGTCTTCGGCTTCCTCAAATACCAGCGCAGCCAGGGCAAACAGGTTACCGTTGGCAACAAGAAGCTGAATTAGCCTCTCTTCTGCGAACCCGATGTCTACAACCTACGACGATCCAACTGTTGGCGGTCTAGGCCTTGGACATGGCTGGTACGGTGGCGTTGAGTTTCAGACGTCCCTACGAATGGCGAGAAATTGTATGATACCCCTTGGTGACAGCAGCGTCATGGCGCCCAGCGCGGAGAATTAATGGTCTAGCGCTTAATCGTGTATCAAATCAAGTTGTCTTTACTACTTCCCCACCGGTCGCCCAATCTACGCTGATCCTTCCCGTGTTCCAGGGCTTACCCGTTTAGGCTCTGAATACATTCCCCAACATCACGAATAGAATTAATCTATTCGTCTGATATGTAAATATCGAGTGAATTCTCCGAAGAATTCTTGTCTGCTCCACACTGCATGTCAAGAGTATTGGCAAGTTGCCGTAATGCCGAACCTCAATCCCTTTACAAAGAAGATCTCGTCGTATCAACGTCTGTCACATGGCGAAAGCGACCCATGCATCTCTCCAAGTTCCACTCTCCAAGGAGAGGAATGCGATGCAGACAAAGAGCTCTCGCTAGGTAAAAGTCCTCGTCGGTCGCTTCGTTCGTGCCTCGTGCACGCATGTGGGTACATCTTTGTCGCATTTCTCGGCCTTTCGATCGGCCTCGGTTTCAGCAGACTGCTGAGTATTGAACACGATATCGATGGATACCTTAGTAAGCTTTCCCCTTTTTCCTGTCCATTCCTTGTCCGCCAGACCGGTCTGTTGGCTCGAAATGCTTTGCAATACTGACCAATCACCAGCGCCATATGGCAGTCCACACCGCAGGATCGAAAAGGTCGTCTGGTCACTCAATGAGAGTTTCGCCGGTGAACCTAGCGCTGAGACGGAGAAGATGTGGAAGAGCCTGATACCGAAAGGACGAGCGTTCGTCCAACATCCCAAGCTAGCGAAAGAGATCAAATCTATGTCCGTCTTCCACGAGCTGCACTGCCTAGTAAGCCCCCATGCATTCCACCACCGCGGCAAAACACCTCGCTAACTCCGTCCAGCACGGCCTCCGGCAAATGTACTACAAAAAGTCCTACCTCCTCTCCAAACACCAACAC